TTTTTTTTTTTTTTTTTTTTTTTTTTTTTTTTTTTTTTTTTTTTTTTTTTTGAATAGACGTTTTATACACCAAATCATAGTCAAACCCACAATCCAATCATAAATTACAATTAAAACTTCATTCCATTTGAGTCTATTGAAAAAATAGAAGTCCAACCAAATTGGAACATTACTCCAAATTGAAAAATTAGGGTTTACAAAAAAGGGAATAAAATATGTACAAATATAAACACATTTATATGTATATATATATATTAGGGTTTTTATTGAGGACCAAATTGTTGTGTACAGCCGATGTGGGACAGAAACAACAGTACGGAAGACTCATAACAGCCTTGAATTCGTGTGTCGTTTGGTTTGGTTTTTCATTTTCATGGCCATCTCTCCCAATGGCCAATCCCCAATCAAAGAAGATACATGTCACTCACTCAATCTCTCTCTCTCTCTAGACCCACAAAACAACCAAGAGAGAGAGAAAAAAAACCCTTAATTTCTAGTGTTTGATCGATCCACTGTTCGGTTTGTCAGGCGATAAGATCTTTAAGATTGACGAGCTTGTATATGCGTTCGGTAGATTGAGTCTCAGAAAGCCAAAATCTTACCCACAAAAACAACGAAGAGGAAAAAAAAATCATTAATCTATTTGTCTCGTCTTCCTCATGTTCGACCCATCTGGTTTGCTGGCCGAGAAGATCTTTGAGATTGACGAGCTTTTATATGGTTCAGTAGATTGAGTCTTACAGAGCCAAAATCTTGCCCACATAAACAACAAAGAGTGAGGAAAAAAAACCCTTAATTTATTTTTCTCGTCTTCCTCAGGTTCAATCCTCTGTCCAGTTTGTCGGCCGATAAGTTTTTCGAGATTGACCAGTTTTTATATGTTCTCGATGGATTGAATCTCAGAAAGTCAAAATCTTGCCTACAACTCGAATCAGGCGACTTGAAAATTCACGAGCAACTAAAACAATTCCTCTTCGACTCAAACAACAGGGACAGATAAAACAATGAAAAAAAAATACAACCCAGTTGAGTTCTTAAAGTTTTCTCTCGAATTCGTCTAAATCGTTGCTTCGATAACACTAAAGAGTCGAACTTTATCCTCTTTACAACAAATAATAAGTGACTCGCCATCTATGAAACCCGAAAATCAGGTTATTTTGATTTTCCAACTCGAAAAACCCTAAAAAATTTTGGGTTTCGAGATCGAAATCTCGAGAACCATCAACACAAATCAAGAAAAGAAAGTAAACCGATGAAGATTAGAGCTTTGAATTGAAAAGTGAAGAACATAACTAACCTTTATGAGTATGAGATTGTTGAGATCCCAAGATATATACATATACATATACATATATATATATATAGCCATTGAAGCTATTGCTAATGCAGCATCATCAAGATTCTCAATCAAACAAGCTTCAAAAAAACATGAACTCTCAAAAATCATTGTGAATCTTGATGATGCCGCACAAGCAAATTATGGCTGTGATTGAGTTCTTGATGAACATGAACAAGAACAGGAGAGAGAATAAGAACAAGAGAGAGAAAATTGAAAGAAAGGAGTGAGAATGAGTGGAAAGATGGAAGATTTAAGGTGGATATATACACACGAGGGCTCAAAGACAAGGAGCTTAAATGGAAATTAATATATATGAGCTGTTCCTTTCTCTTACAAGTCCAAGTCCTAGATTGCTTTCCACCTCCCTTTGCCACTAAGCTTAGGGGGCCACTTTCCCCTACTCTCCACGATTCCCGACTCCGAGCATAGCTCAATCAGATCAACGACACACTCCACGTCTTCGTAATAGTAAGATATTGTTCACTTTCGGTGTAAGTTTTTGTGGGCTGTCGTTGGATTCTCGAGCACTGCTCCATGCATAGCTTAATTAAACTATATGATATTGTCTACTTTACCGAGTAATTTAGAAGCTCTTTGGGGTTTTTGTTTTTTATTTTAGTCATGTTTGGAATGTAAATAGAATCTCAACTTTGAGCCGTAAGTTAATTATAAAACGTCTACTTTTTGCATATCTTTGTGGGGTTTTGCAATATATCTAAAGTTCTGGTACGATCAGGACTCACGAGTCTCGTACCAACTTAAATAATGGTATTTACTTATATAACTATGATCGTTTTTTTTTTCTTCATGTTCGAAACTTTAGTCGAACGCTCAAAATCTCTATGATATAAGGGATCGTAGATTTGCACTCTCAGTGTTCATGAAGAAAATTGAGCTCCAGAAACAAGATTTAAATCTGAATTATGATTCCGAGTATAACTAGGTGATACGGTCCTGGTTGCTATTTCAAAGTCAACGGCTCGATCTCCCATTCACGATTATCGAAAAAAAAATTCAAATATACCATCAATTATCAGTTCAAATGTCGATAGTTCAATTTCTCGCCCATATTAATGAAGAAAATCCTAAATTACTTAGATCGTACTTAAACTACGTTATACGTGAATTAGTGTCTCTATAATTAATTAAATTTAAATTTGGGGACAAAATGGTCCATTACTTAAACGATGTATTAGGAATTTCAAAGGTTGTTAAGTTAATAAAGAAAGAATTAATTAATTCCTTCAATGAATTCGGCTGGTTGTTACATTTTTATATATTAAATTAAGAAAATTATAAATATATGGTTATATTGTAATTAAGTGGTAAAGTGTGGGTATACTATAACACATAATAATTACAAATATCCCAACGAATTATACTAATTAATTAAATGTATGAAAAAATTTTATTGGTTTAAATTTATATTTTATTAAATAATGAATTATTGGTTTTCGTACATATTTATTTAAATTTAAATTTTAAAAAAATATTTATTTGGAGCAAAGATTATATGAAATAAATATATAAAAAATAGAGATGGGTGAATTAATTAAAAGAAATTGAGTGGAAAATAGTATAATGATAAGGGTGAAGAAAAAATGAAGATTGTAAGCAGAAAAAGTAATTAATGAAATATTAAAAAAATGTGATTGGTGCAGCCCTTGTGGGCCCAATAATAATGTTACATATTCTTCCCTCACTGTCTCTACAAAAATTAATTGTACTCTCTGTCACTTGGACCTCCCATTTCACCATTATTTTATTTTTATTTTTATTTTTTAAATATTTCATTTATTATCCAAATTTTATAATAATAATAATATAATAATATATATATATATATATATATATACATACATGAATGATTGCCTCTATTTATATCGAATTAAATTAATATGTTAAAAAATATTCGTGAATTTTTTAAAATAACATAAAAACGTTTGAAAATAATCTATGATATGTTAAAAAATATTTCATTTATTATCCAAATTATATATATATATATATATATATATGAATGATTGTCTCTATTTATGTTGAATTAAATTAATATGTTAAAAAATATTCATGAATTTTTTAAAATAACATAAAAACGTTTGAAAATAATCTATGAAAGGTTAATAGACCGTTTCGTCCATATATTTACATAATTTTTTTTATATAAAATATAGTTTTTTTTTTAATTTTTTTAAATTAAATCAATAATTTAATAAAGGGCTGAGTATTAAAAATAAATTAATTAATATGGCCAAAATAATAAAGTGACATCTTTTTAACTTTTAAAAACCACATACAATTGTTCATAAATGTTCCTTTAATGGCCGACAACCTAGTACTCCTTTTTTAATCCTTCTAATTTTTTATTAATTTTTTCTTATTTTTTAAATTTATAATTTTCTCCTTTTTAATTTTTATTTTTAGATGTCCGTAGATATAGTTTTGTTATTAAAATATTTTTAAAATTTTTTTAAAATTAATATGTCAGCCTCAAACATGTAAATTTGAATCTTTAACCTCTTAATCCTGGATACTTACTTTCGTGTTAGTTGAATTACACTCGACGGATAATAAATTGTACAAAAAAAATTAATAACATTTAATAACATTTATATTTGGTTTAAAATAAAATATTTGCTCAGTAAATATCTAAATATATTGAAATAAAAAAAATGTTAGGATTCTATATACCAAGTTAAATGATTAACAAATAAATATCAAAATATACTTTTTTTTTTTTAATAATTAAAATATATAAAGACTAACCTGCGGAAATATTTCAATAATAATAATTTTTTATTTTAAGAGAAATAAAACTATCCTAATTTGTCAAATAATTTATTATTGACATCTAAATTATCGTCAGCATTTCACTCCTGTGGTGGGCCTGCAGTTAAGATTACGTTCAGGCCCAATAAGGATGGAAAGCCTTTTTAAGCCCAATTTGTGGCCCAATAGTTTCAATAGACCAGCCCAATTTAGTTCTTATTAAATATTAGTTTTAAAAAATAAAAAAACTCACAATTTTAAAGAACAAATAACAAAATGGTTATATTGCTGTCAAAAACAGACGTGTCGTTTTTACGCAAGACAACGCTGTTCTTCTTCGCGATTGAATTGAAAGCAGAATTGTGAAACATTGGGAGATTCTTGGCAGCCATTAACGAACCAGTGCCGAAGGCGCAAGCTTATTCTTCTCTTTTGCAGTATTCTCCAATTGTTGCGTGGACTCCACGAAAGTTCAATTGGCGGATAAGTGCTTGGATCGGTTATTTTAGATTTCCTTGATCGCCATGGGCTGCTCCTCGTCTCTCCCTGGTATTTTCTCGAATTTCGTCGCTCCAGATTTGCTAGGGTTTTCAGATTCTTTATTCGTCTATTTAAGTCTGATCGAGGAGGTGGTGTATTGAGAATTTCGGAGGTCGATTGTTTGGTCTGTTTCATGTTGTTAATTATGGAGTTTTCTCGATTCCTTGATTTTCTTTAACGGGCGCATTAGGCTTTCGTGGGTTTCAGTTTCTACTTTTACTTACAGAAGTTTATGTCGAGTTTCAATGATTTTTTGGGGGTTTATAATGCAGACAGGGCTTCTGGGCGATCGGGTGTGCTTAATCCAGAGAACAATGCAGCTGATTCCAAGAATTTGCGCGTAAAGGTGTTGAGATGCAAAGCTTATTCACTTGTAATCCGATTCTTTTTAGTGTTAATGGAATAAGGCCCCTTAAGTGAGTTCGATGTTAGTCTGATAGTTGGTATTTATTGACTTACAATTCTTTCCTGTATGAAGACAAACATAGGATGGCTAAGATGAAACAATGCTATTTTTAATTTAATGAGTTTTGAAGTTAAAGACATTCTAATGCGTCAAATACTGTGCTTACTTAGGAAGCTTAAAAGTTTTTATGATGTATTTTTTTAACCATCTTCTCTTTCTGACTTTATGCAGCTTGTCCTGCTAGGTGATTCTGGTGTTGGTAAAAGCTGTATTGTTCTTCGCTTTGTCCGTGGTCAGTTTGATCCGACGTCTAAGGTCAGAATTATGTTACAGTCCATAAATTCTTAAAATAAATCTATGCTCAATACAAATTAATTTACGCTTTTATCATTCCATTCCCAAAGGAATTACAATCATTTGATTCGACATGTTTGTTGAGAAAATTCAGGTTACTGTTGGAGCATCGTTCTTGTCACAAACAATAGCTTTACAAGATTCCACGACAGTGAAATTTGAAATATGGGATACTGCTGGGCAAGAGAGGTAGGACTATCTTAATCTCTAGTTGATCCTCAAACACGTGTTTTTAATTTCTTAGCAAGCAACCTTATTCTCATTGGTAGCCATTTTCTAGCTTACTTCGTGTTCACAATAGCTTTTTGTTGCAAAAGGTTATCACTGTTGATTTGTCTTCATATAGGTATGCTGCATTAGCTCCACTTTACTATCGAGGTGCTGCAGTTGCAGTTATTGTATATGACATAACAAGCTCAGATTCCTTCGCCAAAGCACAATATTGGGTTAAGGTAAGTTTTAAAGTGGTTAAGTAGTTTTTGTACTATATTTATTGCTTGTGATTGCTGTATCGATTCAAGTCCAAATTGTATCCATGGGCCTTTTACTTGCGATGATCTTGTTTCATAGTCATCATGCATAAATGAAGCTAAAACTATGAGGCAATTCCTCATTAGTTGAGCATCCCATTCATTGATGACCAAATTTGGAACAAAGGGGAATTCTTTTTAATCTATAGGAAGATTATCAGATAAACACATTCTTCACTACCTATCTGTTGTTCCCTTGTAGCTTCTCCTCATTTTCTCCTCTTTTCCTTTTATGATCCTCATTCTCCTGACTCCTACCTTTCTTTTCAATTTGTTTCTTTATAAATGATGCTATTTCCTACCCGGGAAGAAAAATAAATAAATAAATAAATAAAAGAAGAAGAAGATGAAGAAGAGGGAGGAAAACAAGACGATCTTCTCTTTGTTTTTTTTTTCTTGGCTTCAAATCAATCAATGCGATCATGTCTACAAAGTTCCGTCCCATTTTTAAAATATCAACAAAATTGTAACAGTCATATCCCACCGTTAGTAGATATTGTCCTCTTTGGGTTTTCCCTTTTGGGCTTCCCTCAAGGTTTTAAAATACGTGTGCTAGGGAGAGGTTTCCACACCCTTATAAGGAATGCTTTGTTCTCCTCTCCAACCAATGTGGGATCTCACAATCCACCCCTCTTGGGACACTGCCCGGTGTCTGGCTCTGATACCATTTGTAACAGCTCTAGCCCACCGCTAGCAGATATTGTTCTCTTTTGGCTTTTCTTTTTGAGTTTTCCCTCAAGATTTTAAAACACGTCTACTAGAGAGAGGTTTTTACACCCTTATAAGGAATGCTTTATTCCCCTCTCCAACCAATGTGGGATCTCACAAAGATTCTCACGAGTGGTGTTGTTTTTTTTTTTTCTCTTTTCTTTCTTCCCTTTTACACAATTAGTTGTTTTTTTAAAAAAAAATCAACCCATCCATGCCCTATGCACAATTGGTTGTTAAAAGCTTATGGCTCTTTTGAGTTGAAAATTATATTAAGAAGGCTGAGTTTGAATCTAAGCCAAGATTTTTTTTTTTTTTTTGG